GGAGACCCTATCTCAAATACCCATCACAAAAGAAGGGCTGGTGGAGTGAAGGCCCTGAGTTCAAGCCCCAGTACTGCAAATAAACAAACAAACAAAACCAACAAATGTTGGCAAGGATGTGGGGAAAAAGGAATCCTTATACACTGCTGGTGGGAATGTAAATTAGTACAGCCACTATGGAAGGCAGTAGGAGATTCCTCAAAAAACTAAAAATAGAACTACCATATGATCCAGTGATACCACTCCTGGGCATCAATCTGAAAGACTACAAGTAAGGACACCATAGAGACACTTGTACACTCATGTTTACTGCAGCCCATTCACAATAGTCAAGCTATGGAAACAGCCCAGAAGTCCTACAGTTGATGACTAGATTTAAAAAAATTTGATACACATATAATGGAGTATTATTGAGCTACAAAGAAGAATGAAATTATGTTATTCCCAGGTAAACAGTAAATCGTTAAGTGAAGTAAGCAAAATTCAGAAAGACAAAGGTCACGTTTTCTCTCATATGTGGAAGACCAAAAGATCAATGAATATACAAATACAAACATGATCATATATACACACATACATGTATATACATGTGTGCATATATTTTTTCCCAAGCCCTCCAGAATTCAGAAACCTAGTGATTATTCTTATTTTCATGGCAATATAGTTGTTTGCATAAGTTTGGTAAGATATGTTCACCTGATAACATGACACAACTGGAAACACTGGTTATAATACCAGTGCTTTGACTGGAATGTCTTATTTGAGAATGATGTATAAATCAGATATGACCAAATAATACTAAGGAACAAAGGTTAATTTTAAGACACCAGTGTGTATAAAGCTCCCTTGAAAAAACTGGCCTGATACTTGATTATAGGTTTCCTGACTCCAGGCCTTACATGTGAACAAGAAAGGTTACTTACTGGTAGGCCCAGAAACCTGAGAATATTTTTGGGAGTCTCAAAAAAATGAGAATTCACTGATATCTGTGGTAATGAAGGCAAAGTCTCTTGGAGAGTTTCTGGATTGGCTTCTTAGCTATGAGAGGCTTCTAAAAGTCTGATTTGAGATTTCTTTGAAAAGTTCTGCAAAGCAAATTCAAAAAGACCTCTGAAGTATTGGTGGGTATAATGATGAACATAGCAGCCTTCAGAAAGGCCTTTGATCAATTACCATTCTTGCTGAGCTTAGGTAAATAATCAGGCCAAATCTAATGAGACCAGACTTAATTTTGTAAACAAGAAAAGGAGAGGAAGTGAGTGCAGAGAGAAATCTTGGTTCCAGTGAAAAGCTGTAGTGCACTTTTGTGGCTTCTGCCATGCACCAAGTTCCCAGTTCTTCCAGTTTCTTCTAATACCTAGCTACAGCTCTCCAAGCTGGTGTTTCCAGTTCTTTCCCACCCTTCTCACTTGGCATAACTAAAATGGCCTTTTCCCAAAGCTCTGCAAGCTAAAGCTGCATGACTTGATAGAAACTTCAGCAAAATCACAATAGATTATGTCAATCTCCATGGCTGTTGCTGTGTGGATCACTCAGAAAGTTCACTTTAATGTTCCTGGTGACTGACCAGAGACATTCAACCAACAAGCCAGGAAAATGTGCCAGACTGCCATGGCTTACGCCAACTCCACTTGAAAGTGCTTAGAGCACAGCATCTAGCAGTCTTTTCAGCTGACTGTCATCTGGACTTCAAAAAAGGAATTTGAAGTTTGTTCTAGCCATTAGCTCTTTTCTTTTCGTAGAAATGCCCCTCTTTAAATGCTGGAGTGCTCTTACAACTTAGCAAATATCCTTTTCTACCAGGTCCTAGAAGATGATCCACCTGGTCCTTAGTGAACCAAAGATGGCAGTATGAGAAAATGGCCCTGTTGGTTGCCCAGTGATCCCAGCACTTGGTAGGCAGGAGAATCTCGAGTTCAGGGCCAGCCTGGGCTACATAGTGAGTTCTATGTCAACATGGGATACATAACAAGATCTTGTCTCAAAAAGAAAAAAAAAAAGTTAAAAAGCCTCCATATTGTTCAAGAAAAGGCACATCTCTTCTTTCCTTGAGAAATTTTATTTCCACCAGTTGGTTTGAACAGACTACTTTTGTAGGAACTCTTAATGCTTTTTCCTTTTTTCTTTTTCTTTTTTGTAGTTACAGAATTGAACCCAGGGCAAGCACTGTACCACTGAGTTGCATCCCCATTCTTGGTTTTTTTGAGACAGGATCTTGCTATGTAGCTCATGCTGGCCTTGAATTGGTAACCATCCTGCTTCTGCCTCCCCAGTGCTGGGATTGCAGTGTGCACCATCATGCCTGGCTAATGCAGTTTTTTTCTACTTAAAAGTTTTGGTTGCTTTTTGTCCCAAAGTTGAAGTCATAATTACAATTCTTTTTAAGTCAACGTTTATTAAAATCTCAGCTTTTTAGTGTTCTTCATTATGCTTTTCATAAATATTTGAAGGTTGATGAAAGAGTTACATATAAATTTAAAAAAATATTTCCCATTAAAATTATACAGTCATAATAGAAAAAAAAAGTACAGTTCAGCCAAGAAGGAGAGAACTACTTCTGAGTCGCCAGTACTCAAGGACAACTGCTATTAATATTTTAGTGTGTTGTCTCTCAATGCACTTACTGGGAGAATGCAGTGACCCTGTGGGCAGGGTCAATTTGTGCAAAGGAGGAAACCAAAAGAAAAGAAATAGAAGAGAAGAAAACTACTATGAATTAAGTATCTGTGGCCAGTTACTGTGCTAAATATTGTATTAAAGTTTTTTTGGTGTAAACATTCTCTATCCTATTTGCTTCAGATTTTGAATGCATGTAGTACTTTGTCTAAGGAAAGTAGAAGAGTTAGGATATGACTGCAGCTTATATCATACCTAGGAAAATAGAAATCAAGCATGTCACTCCTCTATTTGTAACTGCCCTGTGGTTTTCTATTACACTTAGGGGGGAAACCAAACTGAGGTCCTTTGTTTAGTTTATAAAGGCTTTGTATCTCATTGCTGTGACTCTCTCTTCACTCTCCAGCTCCAGCCTTGGTGGCCTCCCTGCGTTTGCTTAAGTGTACAAATATCAAGCCTATCTCTCTCAGGGCCAGTGTGCATAGTTTCCGCTCTCTGGGATACTCTTCGGTCACTTTTTTCAGGTCTTTGCCCAACTGCCATTTCTTCAAAAAATTTTCCCTGACCATGTTGCTGCTGTGTCTATGTGTCTGTCTAGCTTTGTTTTTCTTCATGACATTTAGCTATTTATTGTTCATTTCGTTCTAGATATACAAACTTATGTATGTCCCCACAGCCTAGAACAGTGCCTCATCTAGAGTAGCAAGTCTTCATGTGTGTATGATAATGGGGTTTAAACTCAGAGCCTTGTTTTTGCTAGGCAGGTGCTCTACCACTCGAGCCATGCTCCCCAAAATTGTAATACATAATCTGTTTTTTTTTCTTTTGATGGGACTGGGGTTTGAACTCAGGACTTCATGCTTGCAAAGCAGGTGTACCTATCCCTTGAACCACACCTCCAGCCCCCTGGCATATAGTAGCAGATCCAAACATTTCTCTATGAATGAATGTATGAAAAAAAACTCAATTCTTAAATGTGAAAGATAAATTCTGGCTTAATTAAAATTACCCTTGTGCCCAGTGCCCATTGGCTTATGCCTATATTCCTAGCTTCTCAGGAGGTGGTGATCAGGAGAATTATGTTCAAAGTCAGTTTGAGCAAATAGTTCATGAGACACCCTATCTTGAAAAAACCCATCACAAAAAAAGGGCTGGTGGAGTGGCTCAATGTGTAGGCCCTGAGTTCAAACCTTAGTACCACAAAAAAAAAAAAAAATTACCCTTGGTAAAATGTGATTTTTGAGGTATCTACCCTTAAAGACTAAAGTTTCTGTAGATCTAGACCTAAGATACTTTATACCAAACCTTAAAATGAGATGAGGATTTTGATCATGCACACAAAGCAAGTTATAATTGTCCCCCATATTATTTGCTTTTCTTGCTCCTAAGTGGAAACGACATTTAAGGGGTCATGGAGAAAGAACTAATTTTTCAGATCTGTTTTATAGGCCTATAATAGACCACAAATAATATTTTAGTGTCTCTTAAGTTGGAATATGCATTGCTGCAGAGCTACAGTGCTGAAGTGCTTTTAGTCTTGATGAAATAATTTGAAAATAATTATGTAGTCCTACAACAAAGCACTTTCAGTGCTCTAAAATATACAGTTAGCTTTTGACTCTACTTTTCAAAATATTAAACCTTTAAAATTTAAAGGATAGTACAATGAACACCCATATACCCTTTACCTAGATTCACCAATTATTAACTTTTGGCCACATTTATGGTTTTTTACTCCCTTTCTCACTTTCACTCTCACCTTTGCTCTGCCCGTCACACACACACACATGCATACATATGTATGTACACTTTTTTTTTTCATTGCTGACCATTTAAAAGTTGAAGACATGACATTTCACTCCTAAATATCTCAGTGTGTATTTCCTAAGAACAGGGACATTTCTGTACCTAACCACATCACTGTTATCACACCCAAGGAAATTAACATTGATAAAATAATACCTCCTAGATTGTCCATACTTAAATTTCCCCTATGTCAAAGAAACCTACCCTGTTTATATATTTGATTTGTTTTTGTTTTTGTTTTCCAAAAAGAATCATGCATTTCACACACCTGGGATCATGAGTTTGAGGCCAGCCTGGACTATTGAGTGAGACCTTGTCTCAAAACAAAGTCACTCATTTCATTTGGTTCTAATTTAGTCATCTTTAATCTAAAATGACTCCCTCGTTTCCCCCTTTTTTGATGTCTCTCATGACAGATCTCTTTGAAGAATTGAGGCTGATAGTCTGAATTTGTTTTCTTATAATTAGATTAACATTTTGACAAGAAAAATGCATAAATGTGTACCAAGGTTTTAATGATGAAAAAACTTAGAATGAAAAATAAAGCAAAGGGTACTTTGCTTTTTTCTTTTTTGCAGTATCCTGAACACAAGCAGTTTGCTGTGTGATTGTCATTTGAAGTGGTTACTTCAATGGCTGGTTGATAACAACTTCCATCATTCTGTGAATGTAAGCTGTGCACATCCTGAGTGGCTTGCAGGGCAAAGCATCCTGAATGTGGACCTGAAAGACTTTGTCTGTGGTTTGTATTTTTGTTTTAAAATGTTATATATTGGTCACTTAACTATCTCAAAATTTAAGGGGAAAAAAAACCCTACCTCACATGCCTACCCACTAGCACATCTATATCCACTTCTATGTTCTTCAAACCATGTTTCAATGATTATATTTTTGTATTTTATAACAAAAATGTAAATAATATAAATTATATAAATATACAATGTAAAAACAGGTTAAATTTTAATGCTTTGTTGCTTTGTCAGCAGTTTTTTTTTTTTCCTATGTGGGTTCTTTTTTTTTTTGGCAGCACTAGAGTTTGAACTCAGTGGCTCACGCTTGCTAGCAGGTGCTCTTACCGCTTAAGCCACTCCACCAGCCCTCTCTGTGGGTTCTTAAGTGATCATTTTGAATGGCAATATAAATGTTGGCTTTTTCCTTTTGAAAGGATTGTTAACTGTAGGATAAATATCCAGTGATAAGATTCCTGGATCTATAGATAGCACTTTTTTTCCCATGAATATTTTTAGTAGATCTTTAAAAATGCCACCAGGAATTAAAAGAAAAAAATGACCCCCTAAACTCTAGTTTATGTTATTACTAGCAGTGTCTGTTGTCATCGATAATGCTGTAAATATACATGTACAATAATTCATATGTATGATAGAGTACTGATTTCATGGGGTTTTTTTGTTTTGTTTTTGGCAGCACTGGAGTTTGAACTCAAGGCCTCATGCTTGCTAGACAGGCACTCTACCACTTGAGCCACTCCACTAGCTCTTTGTTGCAATAGGTTTTTTCAAGATAGGGTCTCTCAAATTATTTATTCAGAGCTGGCTTCAAATCATGATCCTCCTGATCTCTGCCTCCTCAGTAGCTAGGATTACAGGTGTGAGCCACTGATGCCCCAGCCCTGTTTAGTTTTCTTTGATGTAGTATTTTGTTTTGTTTTTTTTTACTATTTTTATTAACATAATTAATAATATAAGGGGGTTTCATTGTGATAATGCCAGAGTTCCACTCACCACATTTATGACACAATGAAATGTTATCCAGGGAAGATACTAGTTAATGATTCCTGTGCTAGCTTCCCTGAAGCAGTCCAATTACATCGTTTATAAGTATACAGTTTATTGGCCAGTCCTAAACCAATCTTCATTTGTACATTTGACAGGGTTGGAATTTTCCACTAGTTTAATGTTGAAAGCTATGAATAAAGTACTTTCAAGTAATGTATTTGTTAATAGGTATTTTCTATGAAACAGAATAAGTTCCTATCCCCATTTTATATACTGGCACAGAAGTATAATGGTTATTGTGTATATTTTGTTTTATGTCATACATGTATATATACATACAAACAAAGGATAGTAGAATTAGCACTTGTCTTGAAATTCTAATACAAAATTTCTCTGTTCTCCCCACCAACTGGTAATGCTTAAGAAATATATTCTAAGCATACAAGGAACAGTGGAAAGAATGCTGGATCCTAGGTCTGCCCCTGATATAGTGTCTTTGAGCAAGCCACTTGACTCTTTTGGACTTCATTGTCCCCATCTTTAAGCAAGAGGCTGGATCTCTAGCTGTACAGTCTCCTTCAGCCTTAATATGCCACTGTGTATCAGACTTAGTGCTTTACAGGATTTGTTTTAAAATTGAATCTAAAGCAAAAATAGATAACTGACTTTACTCCTGCTGCATTTTCCTCCTCAGATGATTTTCTCAAGCCGCAGATAAGGGCACATCCTGAAACCACAGTTGCTCTAAGAGGCATTAATGTGACTCTCACGTGCACTTCAGTGAGCAGCAGTGATTCACCCATGTCCACTGTGTGGCGAAAAGACAGTGAAATCCTGTGTGATGTGGATGTTGAGAATTTTGTTCGTTTTCGGCAGCAAGCTGGAGAAGCTCTGGAATATACTAGTATCCTCCATCTTTTCAATGTGAATTTCACAGATGAAGGAAAATACCAGTGTATTGTTACTAATCACTTTGGTTCGAATTATTCTCAGAAAGCCAAGCTGACTGTAAATGGTAAGGAAGTACGCGTCTCAATTTTTTTTTTTTTTTTACACATTAGAAGGGTTTTCATGTTCAGTTTTTTAATCACTTGACCAAGAAAAGCAGGCTATGTCTGGTATTTGAGGGGGAGTCTTACTGGTGTTGTCTTTTGGGTTATAGTGTGTAGAGCAGGTGGAATTTTTGGATTAGTTAGTCTGCCCCTTACTTACTGTCCCTAATTGATCTTTGGTTGAGGGTTGATTCCACTGCTCTAGGCAATGGGCTATTTCTGCTGCAGTTTCCGCTTTTAAAGCAATCTTTTGAAGTTCTCGGTTTTCTTTCCAAAACTGTAATTCTGCTCTGAAACCTATGAAATTTATTACTACCATGTTCACACAGTGTTCAGGACATTTCTAGGTCCAGCGATCAATATTATTATCTCAGTGTAGCTATGTGGGATTGTTCTTTATATTAATACTGTTCTTCCTGTGCCTTCAGAAAACTTCTATTTCCTAATGATTGAATACCTATATTCTAGGCTTTGTGCAACCAAAACGTATACTTGCGTCTCGCTTCTGTGTTTTTTTTAATGAGATTTTTTTTTAAAAAAACATAAAATTTTCTAAGCATTCACTTCTCTTTTTTCTTTTCAATTGAGTTTTGTTGTTTTTTTTGGTGGCACTGGGGTTTGAATTCATGTCCTTCACATGAGCTCTCTTGACAACTGTTGATGTTAACTTTGGGAAGCATCATTTGGGTTCCTAAGAGAGAGAATAGTATTAAGTAATCAAGTCCTCAGATACAGAATTCAGAAAGGTTTGTGGCTTTCTGCTTTCCTTATTCCTGTGAGGATGGTCAGATAGGTATGTCATGCATTGTAGAAGAAATGTTAGTGTTACTGTGCTCCAAACACTGAGGACCTTGGAGAAAAGATGGCCTCTGAAGCTATAGTCACTGTCAGTGCAGACAGCATGTCTTCTTAATGGAGCATTAGAGTAGTTGGTGTTTGGCCTGATTCGTGTGTGTGTGTGTGTGTGTGTGTGTGTGTGTGTGTCTGTGTGTCTGTCTGTGTGTGTTGCCTCCTACCTACTTTGTCTTCATAATCTTTTTTGGAACAGAGTTACCATCTTTTCTGAAAACTCCAATGGACCTAACTATTCGCACTGGTGCCATGGCCAGGTTAGAATGTGCAGCAGAGGGACACCCTGCACCTCAGATTTCCTGGCAGAAAGATGGTGGTACTGACTTTCCTGCGGCCCGAGAAAGACGCATGCATGTGATGCCTGAGGACGACGTCTTCTTCATTGCCAACGTGAAGCTAGAAGACATGGGAATCTACAGCTGCATGGCCCAAAATACAGCAGGAGGCCTTTCAGCAAATGCCTCGCTAACAGTGTTAGGTATCGTACTGCTTCAAGCAGCTCTGCTTTTATGGAGCCTGCCTTGGACTTAAAGCAAAGAATTGTTTTAAGGCTTCCATTATGATTCTTACTTTTGCTCTTCGTATTTTGCCGCTTATAGAATTGTGTCAGCTTGAATAGTCAGAACACTACAATCTAGAAGAATGCTGAGGGCAGAATGAAGAATCTTTTTCACAAAATTCAAATTCCTTTATCACTTCGTTCATTTAAGCCGCCATCTGTAAGGCTTCTATTTCGAGAATACTTTTTTTCCACTGTTCAGTGAGTTTGCATTTTTCTTACAAGGATCCCAACCAATTGATACAACTTCCCAGAAAACCTATGAAAATTATTTTTCCCTAATTGAAAATATTAATTTAAAAATCTCCTGTCTTCTGGTTAGACTCTCTTTTCCTTCTAATGTATTCCTCATAATCTTCTACTCTGTTAAAATGTCATTTCCAAAAAAATTTCCCTCACTAATGTTTTGCTTTGTTTTTTAAATTGGAATACTTTTCTTTATGGAACTCAAATCCAAACAAATTCTACTTTCTAGTTCTTTATTTACCTAGATGTCAGGAATTTTTTTTCTGACGTTTGTTAACCAGGTATGTTGGTAGATGCCTGTAAACCCCAGCATTCAGGAGGCAGAGCTGTGACAATTCAAGGCCAGCCTGGGCTGCATAATGAGACCCTGTTTCACAAAACAAAACAAAAATCCAACAGTACTAAAGCTTGTTGGGGCTGGTGTATAGCTCAAATGGTAGAGTTTGCCTAGCATGTGTGAGGCCTGTGTTTAATCCCCAGTACTGCAAAAAAAAAAGAAAGAAATTCTTTAAAAATATTAAGCTACACAGAAAGTTAGAATAAGTCCCTCAAACACTAGTCAAGATTTTAGCATATTTATTCTGTTCATATCTATTCTTTTTTTTCCATTAAGTTTTGCCATTTGATGTTAAGGATTATCCTAATGAAAAGGTCTTCATAAAGCATCATGTGACTACTGTAATTTAATGACTGATATTTTCTTGATAAAATTTTAGATAATTTCCCTTTTTTTGTTGAAATACATTGTCACTATGTATTCACACTGGCCTTGAACTCAGTCCACCTGCCTCTTCCTCAGTGCTAGGATTTTTGGTGTGTGCCACCATGCCCAAGTATGTATTTTTAAATTACAACTAATTTTCGAATAAATATCTTTGTGTAGAAATCTTTGAATTCCTTGGGATAATTTCACAAGGTAGAATTCTTTAAATAAAATGTAGATGGTTGCAGTTGTACTGTGCTGGAGATTAAACCCAGGGCCTTGTGTATGCTGGGCAAGCTGTCTGCCACTGAGATATATATACTCCATCCCCCTATTTAGATTTATATTTTTGCAGTACTAGAGATTGAACCCAGAGTCTTGTGCATGCTAGGTAAGTTCTGTACTGCTGATATAACATCCCTAGCCCTTCTTATCTTTATTTTTGAGGCAGGAGTCTTGCTATGTTGCCTAGGCTGACCTCAAACTTGAGGCTCTCCTGCTTCAGCCTCACAAGTAGCTGAGATTAGGTTTTTTTGTTCTGAAACACTTATCTTCTAATCCTCCCATGAGTATATGAAATTGCATATTTTATTATACCCTCAGTAGCCTAATTCAATAGGATTTAGGGAATAAAATTATCTAATGTGATTTCTTTTTTTTACTATTCTATTAGAGACACCCTCTTTTATTCGCCCTCTGGAGGACAAGACAGTAACTCGAGGTGAAACAGCGGTGTTACAGTGCATAGCCGGAGGGAGTCCTGCCCCTCGCCTCAATTGGACTAAAGATGATGGGCCTCTGCTAGTGACAGAACGGCACTTCTTTGCTGCTGCCAATCAGCTTCTCATCATTGTAGATGCTGGGCTAGAAGATGCTGGGAAATACACCTGCATTATGTCTAACACCCTTGGGACTGAACGTGGCCATATATACCTAAATGTCATTTCATCCCTCAATTGTGACTCTTCTCAGGGTAGCATTGGGCATGAAGATGATGGCTGGACCACAGTTGGCATTGTCATCATTGTTGTAGTCTGCTGTGTTGTGGGCACCTCTTTGATCTGGGTCATTGTTATTTACCACATGAGAAGGAAAAATGAAGACTATAGTATCACAAACACAGGTGAGTGGTACCCAAATGACACCTGTGACTTATACTTGAGTCAAGAATGTAGTATAGGATTTAGTGTAAAATAGAAAAAGCTGTGATATAGAATCTGATATGAGATGTAAGGAAATTTTTCTTTTAAAATGTTCAACTTCCTAGATATGACAGAACCTATTTGGGGGAATAATTTTAAGAATTTATAAGCACTCCCCCCCTTATTTTGTTCTTACAGGTACATTACAGGTGTACCTTCTTTAATGAGTAAGATTCATTTACATCATAATTTTGTTTGTTGCTGGGAAGAGTGAAGCTCTCATGTCAGTCTTTGGCCCCACTCACCCTGAAATCTGTAAGAGAAGAGATATAGCCAGATACGTGCAAAAGTGTCTTTTGGTTTTCTTTCTTTTGGCTTTTTTTTTTTCTTTGTTTTGTAGTTTTTCACATGCTAGTCAAGCCCTTTACCACTATGTTACATCTCCATCCCTTGTAATATTTCTATTGAGAAACTTTGAGAAAAATTCAGTAAAAAATAGTGTTAGGGGAAGTATGAGGAGTTGTTGGGGTCCTCAGTCTATATCACTTTCCTGAGAGTTGGATATGTCTCTTTTGCAGAGGAGCTCAATCTGCCCGCAGACATTCCCAGTTACTTGTCTTCCCAAGGAACTCTGTCAGAACCACAGGAAGGCTACAGCAACTCTGAGGCAGGCAGCCACCAGCAACTGATGCCTCCTGCCAGTGGATATGGACACAAAGGCCCTGACAGTAAGGACTCTCTGTTGTTTACCATTACAGCTTTAGCCTGTTACACTGAATTTATTTTCCAGTGTGGGGTTTCCCCCTTTAACCCAAAGCAATATTTTTAAAGTAAAATACTCAGTGAAAACATTTAGCCTTATGCAAAATAGAATGAAAATTAACTAAAGACTTAGCAAGAGAAGAAAGCCATCATACAGAAGTAAGAAGCATTGTCATTAAGGGATTGAAGTACACAGAAGAGGCTCCTAAACCTCTATTATTGCAGGAAGGGGATATTCTAGAAACTTCTTTAAGTGTCTCTTAACCTTTTCAGGGTTAAGCATCCTTCAGGTCACATCCAAGAGATGTTTGGTTCTCTTGCTGACAGATAGCTATTTAGGGAAGTCTGAAGGGAAGAAAGGTTCTCAGCATGTAATGGAGAACATCAGAGAGTTGTAAAATGTTTCCTAATTAAGTGAATCCAACTTCTTAGTACTGCCTCTCACCCTTCCCTGCTTCTCACACCCTCATTCTACAGAACACTGGGAGGTGGATTGGATTGCTAGATCTTCCTTTTTCTGGCTTTGTGACTAAGAATGAATTCCTTAACATCTGCACGTTAGTTTGTTTGGGGTTTTGGTTTTTTTTTTTGGTGGCTTCACCGGGGTTTGAACTCAGCTTCATGCTTGCTAGGCAAGTGCTTTTACTGCTTGGACCACTCTGCCAGCACTTACTTACTTACTTTCTTTCTTTCTTTTTTTCTTTCTTTCTCTCTCTCTCTCTCTCTCTCTTTTCTTTCTTCTTTCCTTCCTTCCTTCCTGCTTTTCTCCCTCCCTCCCTCCCTTCCTTCCTTTCCTTCTTTTCTTTCTTTCATTTATTTATTTATTTACTTTTGAGGCAGAATCTTGCTGAGTAGACCAGGCTGGCCTTGGTTACAATCCTCCTGCCTCAGTCTTCCAAGTGCTGGAATTATAGGAATGTACCACTATGCCTAACTTGTTTGTTTTTTTTTTTTCCTTTTTTGTTGATGCTGGGGTTTTGACCTTAGGGCCTCACACTTGCTAGGCAGGTACTCTCCCACTTAAGTTATGCTGCCAGCCCCTTTTTGCTTATTAGTTATTTTTCAGGAAGAGTCTGGCATTTTTGCATAGATCTGGCCTCAAAAGAATTATTCTCGTACCTGTGCCTCCTGGATAGCTGTGGTGACAGGCATGAACCTTTATGCCTGACTTGTTGGCTGAGATGGAAGTTTTTATTTTTGCCCTGGGCTGGCCTTGAACTTTGATCTTCCTGACCTCCGCCTTCTAAGTAGCTAGAATTGCAGCAGTGAGCTAACATGCCCTGCCTAGTTTATTCTTGTGTTTTTTTTTTTTTTTTAGATGCTGGGTTTTGTACTGAGGGCTTGGTGCTTGCTAGGCAGGTGCTGTACCGTTGGAGCCATTCCCCCTGCTCTATGCTCATTTTTAAGTAAAGAAATAATACTTTGTTAAGCGCTTCTCTCCAAGATTGTCACAGATCCTTTCAACAAATCTGTGTGGTACCTGAAGTACTATAGAAATGAAAGATTTGTTTCATTCACAGATTTAGTCTGAATATCAGCAGAACTTCTGTCCTATTGATAAATTTGATTATATTTTGGCTTTTCATGAAATAGGAAGTATTTCTGACTTTTGAAAAGAATACTTACAAAGTCACTAACTCTTTGAAACCTGTGAGAAATAGCATTACTGAGACAAGATCTCACTAGATAGTCTCACCACAAACTCTTGCCTCGGCCTCCCTAGTGCTGGGAGTCTCTCCATTGCTGTCATCCTATTATTGATAATGAATACATGACTTGCTATGTAGCTCTTACAATCTCTCCTCTCCATCCCTCAGTTTGCAAAGCACATAACAGTCCAGGAAGCTCCTTATTCAACTTTCACTTCTGCCTCCCACACACTTGTCAGGCAGGATTCTTGACTAGGGATTCTTTTAGCAATTACTGTTGCTTAACTTCTTTTCTTAGGAAAGCTACATGGTCTCTCATGGAGTGCAGTCATCATAACTCTTGTTCTCTGCTTTAATTTGCTTAAGCCAGGCATGTGTCTTGTGTCACAGTGCGAGCCCTGTCTTAAATCCTTGGATGTGATCTTGGCCCCTTCAGGCTGGACAGAGATGGTTTAGCGTAGTATTCAGGAGCTCAGGCTCTGAGCCAGAGGGATTGCGTTTAGATTTCAGCTCTTCCTGTGCCAGTGTTGCTTCAGTCACGTTACTTCTTTGTTCTCTAATTACCCTATCTGTAAAGTGTGCAATGTAGAGATGCTGTGAGAATTAAATGAGTCAATTCACAGAAACACCTTGAACCTCATTTGTAAGTAAGTGCTGTAAATGCTGGTGAGGATGATAGCATGTACTGAAGGAAATTTGTGATTGGCAGAACTAATTCCTTAATAGGAAAATGTTTGGGCTTTTTTCCTGTGTGGTCATTAGGTGGCACTGCTACCCGGGTGATCTGCTCAGATTGTTACGACAATGCCAATGTCTACTCCAGGACCCGAGAATACTGTCCTTACACCTATATCGCTGAGGAGGATGTTCTAGATCAGACCCTCTCCAGCCTCGTGGTCCAGTTACCCAAAGAGACATTTGTGTCACATCCACCTCAAGAAGCCAGTGTCCTGGAGAGCCTGATATCATCAGCAGACAGAGAGCAGTCTCCTTTTCCCAGCTGCCATGAAAGAGTGAGTGAGAAGAAACTTCCCTCCACACAGATGAGCAGTGGTAAGGGCTGCTTTTATTTTTGTTTGAGTTTTCGGTTTGTTTTGCTTTCACTTTCACCTAATTGGTTTTTTCATCTGTCATATGGTAGCACTCTCATTTGTCAGGAAGCAAACAAGTTGGCATACTGGAGTAATTGCTCCTGTTAACTGGTGTGAACTAGAGCCAGAGGTTGTTCCATATTTGAGCTACACAGTCTCCAGCTGGAAGGTGGAGAGCTTTTGTCCACCTGAAAATTCCGAAGTTCCACAGAAAGGTGGAGTTTTTGCTTTTGTTTTTGTTTTTTTTGGTGGGACTGGATTTGAAATCAGGGCTTCAAACTTGAAAAGCAGGTACTCTACCATTTGAGTCATACCTCTAGTCCATTTTGTTCTGGTTAATTTGGAGATGAGGGGTCTCAAAACTATTTGCCTAAGCTGGCCTCGAACCAAGATCCTCCTGATCTCAGCCTCCCATGTAGCTTAGGGTTAAAGGTGTGAGTTGCCAGTGTCTGTCTAATGTTAGAACTTTTTTTGGGGGGGGAGCAATACTAGGATTTGAACTCAGGGCTTCACACTTGGTAGGCAAGCACTCTATGTCTTGAGCCACACCTTCAGCCCTCAGAAAAAAACTTTAAACAAGTTTAAAGTAATAAGTAATGTTTTCTCCCATCTTTATGTAAGTAAGGAGATTTGAGATCTAAGAATATAATTTGGTGAAGGTTTCCATTTTTTGGCTGCCATTGTATCAGGCACATATTTAATCTCAGCATTACTTGGCAGGTGTTTTCTTTCTCTTATGAGGAAGGATTGGGCCATGAGTGGGAATGCTGTTTTTGGATAGTGTCCTTTATCCTGCATGGCCCAGAAAGAGGCATGTACAGATCATGCCTTTGCTAATTTGGTGAAACAAGTTCTTTGTAGAGCATGAAGGATGCGGCTGAGTTTCTCCTCCTGTCCATCCAGGCCTTCAATTAACTGTCACTTCCTGTCAGCCTGAAGGGGAGGACACTGGAAAGGGAGTAGGGGAAGAGTTACAGGTTTATAGAGGAAGGGAAAGTGTGTAGTGGTACTTGCAGGGATGGCTCTGGCAGGAGTAGGTGATTCAACATGAGATTTCACATGAGCTCTGTGGTTCTTAAGAGACAAATCTAAAGATTTCTAAAGAGGATGAGGTCAGAGAAAAGGGCTGTTATTAAAGTTAGCCTCTTATCCCTGCATTCAGAGTGCATGAAAGAATGCACAAACATGAAATCCATTTTTCCATATTCTAGAAAAATTACACAAAAGGGCTTAAGAAGAACCAAAGTGTAGAGCATCTTGGTTTTTTTAAGCTTTTGGTGCTTTTGAGGGACAGTTTTGGGGTTTGAACTCAGGGTCTCATGCTTGCTAGGCAGGTGCTGTACCTCTTGAGCCACTCCACCAGCTATTCAAAGCCTTTGGGGTTCCTTAATTTGAATCTGGTCTGAATGTAAGGTTGGAGAATAAGAGTGCATGGCACAATGTCCTTCTTTATCTAGGGTACTCGATTCTTGCTACACAAAAGTGTGGGCTAGACTATCAGTTTGAGCGCTGCCTCAAAACTTGTTATAAATGCAGTCATGCCTGTGTATAGTGGCTCATGCCTGTAATCCTTGCTGCTCAGAAGGTGGAAATACGGAAGATCAAGGTTCCAGGGTACCTGGGCACAAGGTTTGTGAGACCCCCCCCCATCTCAACAACATAAGCTAGCTGTGATCAGCCTGTGATCCCATCTAAACGGGAGGCATAGGTAGGAGGATCAGAGTTTGAGGCCCACCTGCACCAAAAGATGAGGCCCTGTCTGGAAGATAACAAAAGAAATGTATTTAAAAAAAAAAAAAATGGAGGCTTGGCTTAAGTAGTAGAGCACTTCCTGAGACCCTGAGTTCACACCCCAGTACTGCCAAAAAAACAAACAAACAAACAACTCAGGGTTTCTGCTTGCTACGCAGGTGCTCTCCTACTTGAGCCACACCTCCAGCCCTTTTTGCTCTGGTTGTCTTGGAGACTGGGTCTCCCTTTTTGCCCAGGTCAGCCTGTGTCTTGATCCTCTTGTTATATGCTTCCCACCACAGTTGGGATAGCAAGTGTGTGCTGCCTAGCCGCCTTTTTTTTTGTTTTAATGAGGGGGGGGTGGATTCGAACTTTTTGCCCAGCCTGGCCTGGAGCCCCTGTCCCTCCTGTCTAGCCTCCTACATGGCTTGCTATGACAGGGGTGCACCTGGATGTTGGTTGGGATGGGGTCTCCCAATCTATTTGCCCATGCTGACCTCTAACCTCTAAGCTTCCAATCTCAGTCTCCCAAGTACCTAGGACCCAGATGTGAGCCACTGGCACCCAGCTCTTTTTAACTTTTTAAAGCTGCAGGTGAAGGACATTATAGATAGTAGTGTTTCAGAAATTAACTCATTAGGTTTCTTGAGCAGAATTTGATAGACAGTGGTTCCAGTTTGATTTTGTTTTTGTTTTTATAATTGTGGCTAAAGAAATGGCAAGTATACATTTGATCTGGCTGTCATTTAGGGATATTGAGGATTTGGCTAAAAGGTCATTACAGTTTGGAAAAGTAATTTTAAATTGTAGTTGATACTGATAATGTCTTTCGTTCTCAGAAACATTGCAGCGGCCTCTGTGGAACATGGACAGAGAGCGAGGCCTGCCTCCCTCCTCCCAGCAGCTGGTCCTTGAGTCACCACAGCTTCCTCAGAATGAGGGCCTGCCAGAAAGGGATCCAAACGGTTCCTCCCCCGTGTCCTGCCACAGGTTACATGACCACAACTTTGACTTTAGTAGGACTCAGAACATTCAAGATGGTAGTGAGGGCACATGAAACCCTCTCCCACATGAAATCTGGGCAGAGACTCAAGTTCATTAATTTTGTATTTACTACCTCAGAGTTCAGAAGAAACCCCAAAGTCAGCATTTGCTTTGCTCTTTGTTTCTGATCACATCTAACTGCACCAAGGTAGGCCTGCATTTGTTTGGGCTTGTCCCTGATGAAGAAAGGGTGACGGCGGACAGAAATGGGAGCATCAAATTGAAAATATGAGGCACTGACAGAGGAAGTTATGGGACCAGTATATAGATGCCTCCTGATGATGCCACGGAGATGTGCCAGGTGTGCATTGCCTGTCAGGAAGTCTCTGGTACTTAGCCTGCCAGATCATCCCAGTCCTCAGAGTGATCCTGTGATGTTCTGCTTTGCCTTCTGAGGAGCAAAGATAACTTTGGAGCCATCTGGGAAGTATGTGTGGATTCTACCGTTGTTTTAAGCAGATAGACTGGGGCTTTGATATTCTAGGTCAGCAGTAAGAATCCCAGGTTTGACTAACTGCTACCAGGTCAAGAGTTTGCATTCTTGTGAATTATTTTTTTTCCCTATTACCCAGGGATGTCATTGTAAATATATGTGCATTTATAAATAATTTTTTAATTCATTGGCCATGTGTGTTGGCAGCAATGTACATATTTTTGATATGTTAAAATTATATATAATGTCTATCCAGTTATTATATTGACAGCTTTTCAGATCACAGGTTTTGTAACATTTAGTTTAGTGAGTGCTAAAAACTTTGTTTGAAATTCTAGAAATCTACTTGTTAAGAAGTATGTCTATAGTGGCAGGGTACTTAGTGATTGCGTACACACAAACACAAGCTTAGTGTAATTAACTGCTTCTTTCATGGCTAAAGGTTCATACATCTAATCACTTGCCATCTGTTTACAAGTGCCAGGTGATATTCCCTTTCTAGCATGAAAGTCTTGCTCTTTCAGAGTCTGGCAGCTTTGTCACAGCTGTGGGAATACAGAAGACTTGTTTTGGGACTATATTCTTTCAGCAAAGTACTTAGTTGACAAGGAAACCAAAGATTACTTCTTTTCTGTGTTTGGTTTGTTTTTGGTCTACTTGTTACTAATGCACAATATATCTTAAGAAAGGAAGCGTATTCTTGGGAATATAGGAACATACAAAAATTTCTATACTGTAAAACTTTGGAGTGATCCTTGTTTTGTACAAGTGATTGCTTAAGCCAAAAAGTTTTCTTGAATTTCTGGTAGCAAAGAGCTTTATGTAAACAAAGAACTTAACACCAATGAAATGTAATGGATTTAAGTTCTTTCTTTTCGCTTTCAGATTTCCTTACACAGGCTGTTTAGTTCTATCCTTTAAATCTAACATTAGTTACTTACTAGATTACTTTAGTCCCTTAAATAAAAACATCTATTTATCTGGGCATCAGTAGCTCATACCTGTTATCCTAGCTGCTCAAGAGGCATAGGAGGATCGAAGTTTGAGACCAGCCTGGGCAAATAGTTCATGAGACCCTATCTCAGAAAAATCCATCACAAACAAGGGCTGGTGGAGTGGCTTAAGGTGTAAGCCCTGAGTTCAAACCCCAGTTCCAAGAAAAAAATATATTTATATGTCATTATTCATTTCTAGGGTTCTGAATTCACATAATTTCTCAGCTTTTTGTCAGAACGTTTAGGTGAATTTCATTCTTGTTTTTAATTGTAGAGTTTTGTCCCATGGATACTAGCACGTCTTTAGCTTTTAGTACATCCACACCCATCTTCTTCCTCTTTCACTGTCAGGTTCTATTCACTTTTACTTTGAACTCATCATGTGTGCTAGTTTCTCTATGCTTTTGATCTGCAGTCATTCTTACTGGTTATGATACAGTTTATAATGTTCTGACCAGGAATTAAGAAACCAGGTCCCTTCCTGGTTCTGCTCCTTACTAGCTGTATAATCAAGGGTGAGTTCTTTTACTTCTCTAGGCCCAATTTTCTTATTTACAAAGTAAGGCATTTTGCTAGATGCTCTAAAGCCCTTTCCAGCTGTAACACTGTGAATCTGCAGTTCCCTCCAGGAACCAAAGACGATTATGCTACTTTAATAAGAAGCTGCTTTCATGAAGTACTTGTTAGCATTGAATAAGAGTGATGCTGCTTTCTTCGACTTGAGCCATAGTATTTCCTCTACAGCAGAAGTAATTGTGTAAGAAATACTCAGGAGGTGAAAAAAAAAGTCTTCTAAACAGTATTGGTAAACTTAAAGGATGTTGTCTGAATTGAAACATCACCCATTGCTTTTTAAAGCAGCAGGTCTGAATGCACACCAGAATATCAGGATCAGCAGTCACATGCCACAGCTTACTCCTTTGTGACACATTCAGAGTTCTAGTAACTCACTCAATTGGATGAGTTTTCCTGAGTGGAAAATGTGGAATTAAGGATAAGAAGCCAGAGAAGGTACCTGTGGGCAGAAACCAGCTGTGAGCTAGTGCTCTAGAAAGTGCACTCCAGAGCCTGCCTCCCTCTGTGCTCCAGCAGTGCTCCTCCTGCTGGAGGTGTCACCCTACTCTCCTGAGGGGTGGTTCTCTATCATGTCATATATTTCTGGCTTGTCTAAATGAATAGTCAGAAATCTGTTTAAATGTGAAGAGCCTACCTCTGGTCTTAATTATAATAAAAAATCTAATCTAGAAAGGAATTCCTAAAACACTCTTATTGCATATGTTTTTGACCACGTGGTGATTTACCCTCCAATATAAACAGGACTCATGGTTCATCAGTGTTTCTTCCTAGCAGTGCAGTGTCAGCCTAATGCTAAGTTAATCAGGGATGTTGCAGAGAGAAGCACCGTGTCTCCCACTCAGTTACCGCTTCATTTCAGAAGGGCTACACAGATCCTCTCCAATTTCTTTGTGGCCCTCTGAGGTTGATTCTTCAAGTCTGCCTATAAGAAGAAATAGCATTTTCCTTGACAGTCACTCAGCATTTTGAAGTGCCCTCATCTACAAGCTGATGTCCAGAACACCAAGATTCAGAAATCCCTTTGCCCCTAAAGTGACACACATGCTTTATATGTGTGTCTTTCTGTATGGTAACATCCAGGTTTAAAATTAGTCACTTGCACATTGTCCATTGAGGAATTGGGAAAAGAAATCTTAAGACTGTCAAGAAAAGGAGAATGTGATATACTGTGTACCTCAAGATTGCCATATTAAATGACAGAAGAGGAGTCATCTACCGGGAGGTGCACCATACACTTGCTAGTTCTTCTGTATAAGCTAACTAATAATTACACTTAATCTGATAATTGGAATAATCAATGTTTGGGGGAAAGATTCATGGAAAAACTAAATAATCATCTAGTGGTTTTATCATTGGAAATCCAGATGCAATCTGAAAGTCTTAAATTTTGTCCTTTAATGTTTTGTATTTAGTTTAGAGCACTTCAGAATTTTTTTTAAAACTAAAGAATTTTGGAATTTGTTACAAAGGGATCGGGCCTGTGTTTGTGGCTATGAAATTATGGGTTTATTCTTCTGAGGAAATCTATAATTACTAGTACAAATGGCTTACTATAGTAAAATATTTAACTGAATTTTATTACAACTCTCCTTTTTACTTTCCGATAAATTTTTATTCTCATTTTTGCTTATCTGTAAGCTGCAGTTGAAATAGAGTTGCAAGTACAGTGTTCAGTTTTACATGCGTACTTTACCCAAGTGTTTCAGTGTGAATTTTCTCGTAATTTTAACATCCAGAGAAATGCCAGATGGGTAACACAAGTAAACTTGCTAGGGCTTTTCCCCTGGTGCTGGGGCTTGAACCCAGGGCCGGCCTCACAAATGCCAAGCATGTACTGTACCACTGACTACACTCTCAAGTTCCAAATTTGCAGTCATTTTATGTAGCAGCCTCCATTTTTTAAGTTTGTTAATTGATGCATATTATAAAGGTAATTGTGAAAACAATTTGACCTGAGGAGTTTGAGCTAAGGTACTTTTGGGGGGAGGGGTGCAGGGCAGATGGGAACCCACAAATAATTTTTCAATTAAGTGGTCTTTTTCCTGTTCAGTTAGGCAGGTATGCCCACCAACCCGTTCTATCTTAAACTTTTTATTTGTAATATAATCTAAATCAACAGCAGGTAGCCTTGATTTTTTTTGGTTTGTTTGTTTTGCACTATTACCAGGTTCATTGACAAAAGTAACAAGTTCTGAATTAAGAGATGTATTACAAACTGCTTTAACATCTGAAATCAACCCAGGAATCATCGGGAGGGGTTTGTGTGTGTGTGTGTGTGTGTGTGTGTGTGTGTGTGTGTGTGTGTGTGTGTGTGTGTGTTTTGTGTTTTAAGATTGAAGATTTGGATCCACTCCCTCAGGGTGGTGTGTTGTTTCTTTGTAGTCCTATAATCCCTAAGGGGTGGGGTGAAAGTGAAACAGCTTGACTTGTTTGTGCATGTTTTCAGATATAAAGTGATCTTGTGCCAACCGTAACATTTGAAAAAGAAATTGATCTTCAGGTGAACAAGTGCTGCTGAAACGTCTCTTGGCTACTTTAGCATGGCCTCTTGATCTATAGAGACTTATTTCTACTCTCTACTTTCCCCTGTTCTTCCCCCCCCCCCCACCGCCAATAGAAAATGTCAGTCTGAGCAGTGCTGGTATTTGACATACCTAAAGAAAAGTATAAGCCAAGTTACTCAGTGTGGCCCTTTCCTGGTATCTGTTATATTTTCTCACACATAAGAATGTATATTTGATAGAGCATGTGGTCATCTACTTGTCTACTGTGATATATCTTCAATAAAGTTAAAACACAGTGACCTTCTGGTCTTTTCTTGTGTAACGTACAGGAGTGAAATGGTATGGTTTTGAGCTTGTATCCTTTGGAGGGAATCTTCTAGTAACTGAACAAGCCACTGGCTTCACCATGCTACCGTGAGCTGCTTTCCTGCTTCCTCCCTTGTGGTGTCTGCCTTGGGCTAGATGCCTGGAAACAAATACACTTTGTAGTCCACTGGGAAGTTAGAGTATATTCTGCCCAGGGAAGAACCCGAAGATAACTTTTTCTAGTTTGATAGGTCTTTGGTTAACATAATACTTGAAGAATGTCAGTATTCTGTGACTTGTTACTCTCCATCTCGGGCCATTGCCTTCAAGAGTATCAACTCTTTGAAGATGGACTCAAATATTGATCCTACTGGGTACATTTACTGCACTGTATTCTTAATGATGCACTTTCTATAGACATTTGAATCTCATAAAGTCTTATGATAATCAGGGAGATAATTTTAATACCCACATTTTGTAATTAAGGAAAGTAAACTGGCTCAGTGAGATTATCTCATACCTGATTCAAAAAGCTTTTAGACAGTAAAGTCAGGATTTGAATCCAGATTTCTTGATTGAGATATAGGTGTTTTTCCATACTCTTTGAGCAGTGTATTTTGTCTACAGTCTTAAGAAACACTTGAATGAAACCTTCTGGACATTGGTCACTTCCAATGGGAAAGTTTGGACCTGGCAGCTGGAAGTTGATTTTCATTTTTTTGTGGCACTGGGGTATGAACTAGGGGCAGGCACACTAAATTTCTTAAAAAAAAAAAAAAATAGAACTATCATTTTGTCCTCTGGGAAGGTGAAATGCAAACAAACAAAAAACCAAAACAATAACAGCAAAACCCCATGCTTTTATTGCACTTGATTTTTTTTGTTTTGTTTTGTTTGTTTTTTTTGTTTTGGTATTGGATGTCAAGTGGAGTTTTAAAAGGTAGATGTTTACATTCAAAGACATTTTGAAGCTCGTAGACCAGTGCTTAAGCTGTCTGTCCTGCAGGCCTAGTTGCTGTGGACCAGTATTTTCATGAAATTCAAGAATGGCTAGAAAAATGAAATAAAATGGCAGAATGCAAGCATCAGATTTAGACTGTAGTCTCAATAGACAAAATTACTCTCAATCTGCTGTTACAATTTGTAACTGCTTACTCTCAGTTTCTGTACTTTACCATGGATAAGTAAGAAGTAGTTTATGGATTGGTACATATAGATTGGAAATAGTTTATAGATCAGAGTAGCACTGCTGCAACTATGTAACAATGCAGTTACTGTCACAGCAGGTTGGTCATGCTTATTTCTGGGGATACTCTTTTTTTTTTTGGCAGTACTGGGATTTGAACTCAGGGTCTTGTGCTTGCTAAGCAGGTGCTCAGCTACCTCCCCTGCACAGTACCTTCCCATTTGCTGAGTAGAATTCTTAGCAGCACACTGCTTGCTTTCTTGTGCTGCTGTCTTTTTGGTCAGTGCTTTGTGGGATGGACAGACTATTGTGACTTTTGCTATAAGAGAAATCAGAAGTAGGTGATGAGGGCAGTACATGGTCATACTGGCTAGAATTCTGATCACTTGCCTCTGGTGTCTGTTGTGGACTCCTAGAGTCATTCATGACCTCTGCTGCTTTGTTCAGCCATTGTTTCCTGAAGTCTCTGTAAGAGAGGTTTGTTATAGTCCATTTAGTTCCCAGACCATCGCAGTGCTAGT